GCTGTCTCTCGGCTGTCAGGCTGCCTTTGTTCTGCCTTCATTTTTATTGCCACTAGCAAAACAATTTCACATTTGCCACTTACCCGGCGGAGAGTCAACTTGCAAATTGCCGAAACGCCCAGCGAACTTTTCCCCCATTTCCACACATTTCCCTCCGCTCTTTGGCTCCAAATTGGGCAAAAGGCCTACAAAATGTTGCACGTTCTCGTGCATAAGAGAACAGGCAACTTGAGACAATCCAAAGTCAAGAATGCAACGCCAGTCCGAGGCCAACACTTGGCTTCGTCCTTGCCTTTTTGTCCGGAATTGGTCATTAGCATTGGGATCGGTTTGGTATTGGTGGCCCTTGCATTCTCACCTGGTCTCTGCTCAAGTGGCCACCGGAAGGTCACAGACAGAGTCACGTAGGGATGTTTATTAAATAATTTATTGGTCGCTTTCACCCGGATTTGTGTGACATCAAAAATAGGGAGATTTGTTGCCACGGAAGGGTGAAGGTTACCCCAAGAAAAAATTGCTTAAAAGGTGTTCGTTTGATTTAAACTTTAGTGTTGTTGAAAGAAAAAAACAACAATTTTGATTTAAAAACGATTTTTGCTTTTAAAATGTATTTTACAATTTATTTGTTTATTTAAAAACTTATTTATGAAAGTCTAATAATAAAATATTTAATAAAATGATCTTATAAAGTAGCATGTACTCAAAATATATTATTTAGGAATAAAATAATATTTTATAATACTAAATAACTTTAATTCTGTACACCAAGATTTAAAATATTTAAGTAATTAAATTAAATGCTGTCTAACAGCCTGTTCCACTTGAGGGAAAAGTTTATTTTTAAATGATGTAAAATTGTTTATGATGACGAATTTACACAGAAGAGAATTTATTTCCTTTTAAATTTTCAAGCATGCTCTTTAAAAATGAATCTTCGATGATTTTGATCTCTGAGCCTAACAATTATTCAATCGATTTTGAATTAAAGTTCTTTACATGTTTTGACTAAAGTTACCAAAGATGTTTGTTGTATTTGTGTGCCCAAGAATTGTCCCTTTGAGAAGGATCAATCCTGTTCGCATTACTTCACCGAGATGCATAATCAATTTGAAGACTCATTTCCATCAGGGCATATGAAAGGCGGGCCCAGTGAACCACGCCCCCTACAAGCTGCACTAATTGCCGGACCCAGAAAGTTGGCTTCGAGAGGGGCTCAGAATCGGTTGGTACAAGACAGCAGGTTGGTTTGCCATTGTCATACATGGCGTATACGTCATATGGCAATTTTGTACTACGACCGAAACTATGAGTGCAATTGAAGTTACTTCTCGAGGATTGCAGCACTTGAATTGTCCTTTGGCTGTTGACAAGCCAGCTGCCAGTCCGTTAGCCAGAGCGAGAGGGGGGAATGACCAAGAGGAAGCGAGACGGGGCGAGAGCTCTCTGTGACAGAAAGTTGCTGCAATTTTCGACTTGACTTGACGGGGAATCGGGGAGTCAAGCTCTGGCTCTCAAGACTTCCCGAGTCCGCTCGCCGACAAGTTATTTTATTGATAAACTTTTTGTCGAGTGAGTAAGGAGCAAGTCAGCGATGGGGGAGAAGGGTGGGAGGGGGGGGGGCGGAATCGCTGATTCGCCCCGTTTCGCCGACTCTTTTGACGTTTCTGCTTTCTGCTGCTGCCACTACGGCTTCTACTGTCTTCACATTGTTTGGCTTAAATGGCATTAAATCCTTTTAATGCTGGGCTGCCAGAGGGGCCCGGAAGCGGGCACTTTGGGGAAATCAATTGTGCTGATTGTCCTGCAATTGAGCTGCCTCAACCCCCTCTCCCCTCCCCGTTACCACTGTCCTTCATCTCACTTTTGTTTCGCCTTCTCGCCCCGATTTTTCTCGACTTTTCTCCGGCTGAGTATTTATTTTTTTGCGCTCGACACTCGGGGACATTATCCGTTCAGGCCAGCTGAAGGCAAATTGAAAGATTTCTATGGCAAAACTGTTGCACGAACACAGGGTCGGAGTCGGAATGCCTGAACATCTTCATTGCCATTTGATGGCCTGCGACTCGCAGAATCCTCGATTCCACCTGCAATGTGTGCGTGTTGGAATGCCCGGCCCAGTCTTTATTGCCACTTTCGAGTTGCATGAAATTAAACCCCTTTTACGAGTAGGAATGCAACCGTCTTTCCTTCTGCAATCTTAAATCTTTAAGCGGCATCTCGGTGGGTGCGAGTGGTGGATTTTGTAGCCTTTTAATTATGGAAATGTGCGGCCGAACTGAAAGAGCATCGAGTGTTATTAATTACAAACAAAGCGAGAGCCTTGTCAAGGACTCGGCGCTAAGCCAAACCACTCAGCCGCACAGTTGCCCATTAGGCACCGCATCCAAGCGTCGTTTTTATGCGAAAAGGCTAAAAGGCGACTGCAACAAAAGGCCGCAGCCGAAATGCTGCAAATCTTTTAGTGAAAAATCTGGAAAAGCGTGCGGTCACGTGGCCGTCGTACCGCTACCCCCCTTACCCCCTTTCCCCCACCCGAAAACACCCTCCCCTGCCGATAAGAAAACGCTTAGAAAAGCGTGACCGCAGCAGCAGGCTCCACCTGAATAGCCACCTGCTCCATGGTCCAATTCAGGTGAACGCAGTACAACCACAGCCGCAAGATAAACTCCACAAAAGACTGGCGCCGGAGGAAAGCCAAACGGAAAAGCCAAGGAAAATGCAACTTTAGCGAATTTTGCGCTCTGTGCTAAGTTTTTAGTTTGTGTTTCTTTTTTAAGATTTTTCTTTGCTCCTTAAACCGTTTCGCGCTGAATAAATCATCGTTTTTTTTCGGCATGCCAGTCTTTTTTCCTTTTGTCCGACTTTGTTTTTCCTGCTGCTGGTAGTCATAAAACAATTGACGTTAAATGTAGCTAAATGAAAGCTCTGCCAGAAGGAGCAGCTGAGGGGGAGTTTTGTCCATAAGCGATTTTCCAGCCGATTGAAAAGATTCTCAAACAGACTGCAGTTGATTCTAAGTAGATTATCCGGGGATCCAAAGGCAAGTGCAAGTGAAGTGGGGTATTTACTCTTCTCTGAGGCAGGTAGTCCACAGTTGAGTGTGTCTCTTCATTCAAAATAAATAATCCGCTTTCCTGTGACTTATGTGACGGATAAAAGCTCGAATATTGCAATCAATGCAATTCATTAATAGCAATAAATGTTCTTTGCTTCTACTCTAACAGGCCGAAAGTCAAGGACGGATTATTACAAAGCGGATTTTTAATTTGGATTACTAATTTTACCTAACAAAATATCCAGCTTTCAGTTAATTTTAAGTTTTTATACCCTTGCAGAGGGTATTATAATTTTGGTCAAAAGTGTGCAACGCAGTGAAGGAGACATCTGCGACCCTATAAAGTATATATATTCTTGATCAGGATCACCTCCTGAGTTGATATAAGCATGTCCGTCTGTCCGTCTGTCTGTCCGTCTGTCTGTTTCTACGCAAACTAGTCTCTCAGTTTTAAAGATATCGAATTGAAACTTTGCACACATCCTTCTTTCCTTTGCACGCAGTACATAAGTCGGAACGGCCGGGATTGGCCGACTATATCCTATAGCTGCCATATAACTGAACGATCGGAAATGCCATAACTTTGGTGTTTGTAAAGCTAGGAAGTTGGCATTATCTATGGGTTTTATATTTGCCCAATAAATCCGACCTACCAAATTTTATAAGGATCGGCCTACTATATCCTAAAGCTGCCATATAACTGATTGATCGGAAATACCATAACTTTGGTGGTTGTAAGGTTAGGAAGTTTGGATTTTCTATGGATTTAATTTTTGACCAATCAATCCGACATACCAAATTTCATAAGGATCGGCCGACTATATTCTATAGCTGCCATTTAACTGAACGAGTGGAAATGCCATAACTTTTAAAAGTTAGGAAGTTGGGATTTTTATGAGTGTTAAGAATGCATCATATGAATAATTTTGGAGAATTAATTTACAGAATATTCTGCAAGGGTATTTCAACTTCGGCTCCGCACGAAGTTAGCTTTCCTTTCTTGTTTTGTATTGTTTTTATCTGCTTAAAATAGAAAGTAATGGTTTATGCAAAAAGCATTTGTATCATATTGTTGTGTCTAAATGTAAGAAATATTATTGGGGACTTATAAAAATAGTAAACATTATTTGGTAAATACCAATAGTTTGTTTTTGCTTTTAAACAGTTATATAGTTTAATAAAAATATTATTAATTATACCCTTGCAACGCAGTGAATGGGGTTAAAGCAGCTCTAAGCGGAAAGAATTCACGCGGTTGCTTAAATTATACAGTATAATTTGGGAATATAGATTACCAACTGCATGAAAAGGCAACTGAATAAATAATTGTTCGGACTTATATTCAATCGATTGGTTAGAAGCTTTTTTTCCCCTGAAATGTCAGTACGGCTTAACAGAAACGTTTCTCTTTTTGACTGCAAATGTTAGTTGTTAGACTCGATTTAGAGTGAAACAATGTTTTGGCCTTTTTTATATCATTAAATTATTTCTGAGCCTTTTTTGTACTGAAAGTTATTAGTATTAGTCCTAAAAGTGGCTCCTGAGCTAAATAATTTCTGAAACAAAGCTATAAGTTGTATTTAATTCTGACTAAATTAAACCTTTGCCTTTTTTTGGGACTTTTGAATTATCAATGCTGAAAAATCAGTTAGGTTAGACACTTTATACAGCGTATCAAAGCTCAGATATTGTTTGATACCATTGAAATTTCCCTGTTTCTTGTCTCAAATGAACTTACCTTAGTTAGGTTACCTCACCCAATATTCTTAAATATTTTTTCGATATTATATTACACATTCCTGAATCTTTCATTTTCATTAAAAGTTACATAGCAACAAAATTCCAAACGAAATGATGGATGACTTTTTTGATAGTTGGCCTGCTCAATCCACCGCTGATCCCATATAAAGCTGATCCTATTTCGTGCTGAAGTCAGTTCGGGAAAATGTTCCACTCCCTGGTCTTGCTCCAGTTTGTGGCTCTGCCTTGGCTGGTCATTGGAGAACATCGCATCATAGGCGGCAATACAGAAAGTATTAAGGTAGTCCCATGGTATGGTTCGCTTATAGCAAACTCTAAACTGAAGTGCGGCGGTGTGTTGGTCAAGAACAACTACTTCCTGACAGCCGCCAAGTGTGTGGATGGCTTTGATGTAAGTGATCTGCAACTAAGGTTGGGCACCAGCAGCTGCGAATCGGGCGGATCCAAGGTGGGAGTCTGCAAGGTGAAAGTACATCCACAGTATTCATCCTGGCGCTTCGACAACAATCTTGCCCTCCTGAGGACCTGCGAGCCACTGGTGGCCACCGATGAAATAAAGCCAATTGAGAGCTCCGACAAGATTCCGGAGGACAATTCACAGGCCAATGTCACCGGCTGTGGTGCCCGAAGGGGCAGTGTGTTCGATATTGACAAAGGCAGGGCGTTTGGCGGCTTTTTCGACCCGTTAACCGATATGTTTCTTAATCTGCCTAAGCAATTGCACAGCGCCGAGGTGCAGATCCTCAACCAAAATCAGTGCTCATCAGACTGGAAAAAGATTGGACTTAGATTTTCCTTCTTGCTAAAAGGAATCTCCGAGCTGACACTCTGTACCCAAACATCCGGCAAGGGAGCCAGCGTCTATGATATGGGTGACCCTTTGGTGGTGGACAACAAGCTCGTGGGCATTTTATCCAAGCCAGGCTGTTCCGCTAGGCCCGATGTGTACGCGAATCTCAACCAGCACAAGACATGGCTCGATGATAATACCAAGGAGTAATCAAGGGCCTCTTATAATAGTAATAAACTAACATCAAACTACATAATGGAACTTTGTTATAATCACCACTTTATCTTATATTCAATACAAAAAATATTAATTATTTAAGGTACACTTGTAAGATCTCAGAATAAAGAAGAACATTGCGCAACGGTTGAATAATAGTGGGGCCAATCACAAATCAATTTAGAATGTCACCCCTTCTTTCGATTTTCCTCCAGATCTTATAAATACATGTGCCTTGCAAAAGGAATTTAGATATACAACAAAATGCTTCAGACAGTTTGTCTACTATTTCTAGTGATCCTTCCGTGGTCGGCAAGTGGAGCTCCTAATAACTGTGAGATCGTTGGCGATGTGGTCACGATTAAGGATGTGCCTTGGCAGGCATCGATTCGATCTGACAAGAAGAACATTTGCAGCGGTGTTATCCTCAACACCAAATACATAATCGCGCCCTCCGACTGCGTGGCAAAGAAGGCACTGCCCAGCCTAAAAGTCTCCGTGGGAAGTAGCTCGCGGGGCACGGGTGGCACTGAGGTAGGGGTCTGCAAAGTGACCATCCACCCGCAGTCCGGCAAGAAGAACTATGGCAGCAACTTGGCTCTGCTGAACCTGTGCGAAGCTCTAAAGCTCACGGACAGCATCAAGGAGATCCAGGTGATCGACAAGGAGCCCGATCTGAAGGCCAATGCCACAACCTCCGGCTGGGGCATCGTCAGTTGGGGGGCCATGCTGAGGAAACCATGCGCGACCGTCTCAGCGTATGTACTACGAAAACTAGATGTTAGCCTCCAGGATGCGAAGTCATGCTCCAAGGATCGAAAGCGTTGGTTTGGCATGTCCACTGGCATCACGGAGCAGAACATTTGCGTCACCAAGAAGTCCGATAGCTGCTCCTTCGACAAGGGCGCTCCCCTGGTCATCGATGGCAAGTTGGCGGGCATAATGGCACTGGGCGATTGCTCCAAGAAGCCCGAAGTCTTCATCAATTTGTTCCATCACAAGACCTGGCTTGAAAGTAATTCAAAGGACAAGTAATGCCCAAAATGAATAGGTTTTTGGCTACATCAATTATCTACAAACATATACCTAACATTTATCTAAATATCCACATTTGTTGGACAATTGTACCTATACCTATCGAATATATTTATTAAAGATAGTAACCCAATATAGCTTATATATTTGTACAAAGGGTATAATAATTTCAGTCAAAAGTTTGCAACGCAGTGAAGGAGACATTTCCGACCCTATAAAATATATGTATTCTTGATCAGCATCACCAGGAGAGTCGATCTACCCATGTCCGTCTTTCCGTCTGTCCGTTCGTCTGTCCGTTCGTCTGTCCGTTTCTACGCAAACTAGTCCCTCATTTGTAAAGCTATATGCTTGAAACTTTCTCAAAAGTTGTCTTTCTATTGCAGGTAGTATATAAGTCGGAACGAGACGGATCGGGCGACTATATCATATAGCTCCCATAGGAGCAATTGGAAAAACAATTCAAACAAATCATAACTTTTTTTGTTGTTCTTTGGGATTTATAACTAATATTTTAATATTTTGGAATTATGGTTTTAATTCAGTTAAAATCAAACAACAATATCATATAGCATAGAAACGATGGAAAAATGCATTTCAAAATCGACATTGCTTCATTGTTTTTAGTAATATAGGCATATAAATCGATATATAAACTTCGGCTTGCCGAAGTTTGCTTTTTCTTGTTTTCCTGTCAAGAATAATAATAATAAAATTTTTTTTATTATAAAAAAATTCGTAATTAAATTCGCTTTCTTACATTTTACAAATAAATAAATATTAAAGTGTTTTAAATAAATGCAAAATTAAATTTGTTCATTCATTTATAATATATACATACAAATTTGTTCTAATTATTCATAGCTTCTATTTAGTATTACAATTAATAATAAGACATAATCGCTTAATTTACAATATTTAAAAACTGTGGTGCCATATTAAAGGCTATGCTACAAAATTAGGCTATTAGACTTGCTCTATTTTAAATAGTTCCTTAATTTGCGCTGATGCATTTCGCTTTGATGTTCGTTAGCTTGCAAGGAATATTTTAATACTAATTAAGTTCTTGACTGGAAGGGTTTGGCAGACATTTAGTCTCAGTTAGAGACGCCATTCACATTTAAGCAAGGATGCTCGACCCCCTTTGCTTGGCCTCAAAAGTGTTGCCTACTTTTGGGCCCTCCATGCGCATTAGTGCTCTGCCTTGAACTTAGTCATACACCAAGTCCTTCTAGAAGATGCTCGTTTTGATTTATGCCAAAAAATATGACTGAAGTTGCCCAGCACCTACTCCCACACCCACACACAGACACACACATAAGTACAGACATCTCCAGTCTTTTAATTGGCTTTAATTTCCAACACCCAAACTGATCTTGGAGCCGGTAAGCACGTCGTCCTTCAATGGCTTCACTTGGCCATTGTTTTGCCGCTTAAGGCCTTTTTGGGGAGCGAAGCTGTCAGGCGGGAGAGCGCTAAAATAAACATACGGCTGCCAAGTTAAACACAGTCACACATTACCACATACACGTGGAGAAACCGGGGGAAAGAGAATATTTTGTTAGAGAAATCATGAAATATATTTATTATTTGCAGCTTTTTCATAGCCCTATGGTATTAAATATATGTTATTATAATTATATCGAAATAAAGGATTTTAGCTGAAGATATATCTGTTTGGAGTATAATTACAAGCAAGGCGAACTAAGTTAATAAGTTATATATTTTCTAAATTAACTTAACAAATTTTATTTGTTTATTTATTATAAATACAAAACCAAAGCTAATATTACAGGGCAAATTACTAACTACGAGGCCTTCGGCTATTATTGTTTAGAGACACTTACAGTTACGGTTGGGATGAATTCTTTTATTATGTGTTTTGGGTTTTAGGGTAGGTTATATGTATTTGCTTTTTGAAGAAATTTATTTTTGGTTATTCTATTTTCTAACTTTACCGATTAAACATTCCTTTACAAATGCAATTATTTTACCCATTGATAAGTCATTGTCATTATAAACCAACAAACAAACAGCAGACAAATTTTAAAAATGTAAGCTTTTGATAATAACTTATAATGAGCATTAAATAAATTATAGAATAGATAAAAGAGAAAGAGCACTGCCAACGCTTTAAAAAGATCTATCGAACTAACTGTAATATCTAACTTAAACTCCTGTCTCAGGAACTTTTTCAAAAACATGAAATTGCTTAAGTTTTTCACCGTGTATATACTAAGCTGACATGCATAGATGTACATGTGCCGTGGCACTCACACACGGACACTTAAGTTGCCAACAAGTCAGCGCTGAAGCTGCTGCTCCTCGGTTTTTCCCCAGCCCTCACTCTTTTCCTCAGGACCGTTAAGGCTACCGTAGCTGTGACGCTGCTCAAATATTTACATTCCATTTAGGCGCCGGTCTGTCTGGGATGTCCTTCTGCCACTGCCACTGCCTCTGCTCTGCTCTGCTCGGCTGCTCCTGTTGACCAAAGCACTTCATCTTCATTTCACAGTTATTTTCAACTTCATTTGCGCGGTAAATAGGTAAACAAATACGCTCACTCAGCCGAACAAACCAAGGATTCCCTCCAGCACCTCCCGATATCCTGGCATCTCAGTTTGGCGGGCAGCATGCCGCCTTGGCATTAATATGTGCCCCCGTAACTGTGTCACGGTGTCGTTTAACTTATTAGCCTTATGGCTGGTGCAGCCCCAACCGCAAGTCGGCCAGGTTCTGTGGCCTATTTGCGTTAGCTGCAGCATTTTTCTCCTTTCACCTTTAAGGGGGAGTATTGGCTTTGGCAAGGAATAAATTGACTTAAGGACAGGTTAAAAATTAGTTAGTGATTTTGATAAAGTACCTTGAATTTCGAAGGATGATTAGATGGTTAAATTCTGATTTGATTTAATAATAAAATGTGGTAGATTTCAAGTGCAAGTATGTGAATTTCCTTAATTATTTTAATATTAAACCTAAATTGGTAAATAAAATAAAAACAAAATTTGATAGATAAACTTACAAATCCTTAAATCTATTTAATAGATTCTTAACTATAGCTCACTTTCTAACATATTAATAGAATAATCCAAAATATCGTTAAAAGAGCTTCATTTAAAAAATATTACCTTCCACTTAATGGATTTTTTTAAAAGAGCGAGATGATTGCGTAGCTTAACGATATGATTTTTAAAGTTTTTGTGAGATAAACAAATTTTACATTACCATTTTTTTAAATCAATAAGCTGCAATGCTTTTAGTTAGCTCCAACTATGTAGTTAATGCAGTATCTTTTTTTTGCCTTAAGACCAAAAATAAATTCATGTAATTAGCCGCTTTTCGTAGTGTGTATATAAGTTCGGTGGGCCAATTACCTTAATGTAAGTTTTTCCAAAACTGCTTTTTTTTCTATTTGTCCACCGTGCTGATGGGGCTGACAAGTCGGGCGCAAAAAATGTCGGTTAGCCGAACCGAGAAAATGTCGCCAAGTGGCAGACGAGACGCCAAAGGAGGGGCGGGGCGGGGGCGTTGGTCGGAGATGCAGGGGCGCAGATTAAATAATTCATTAAGGAAACTCGACTGTCGTCGGCGCTGGCCCACATCTACTGCTTCTTCTTCGAGATGTTTTGATAAGCAAGGGGTAATTAAGCCCAGAGCTGCGAGCTGAGTGTTGGCCGTAAAATTTGTTGGCGGAAAGTTTGTTCGCGCATAGATGACATGAATTTAAATAGAAATTAAATTAAAATGAGTCGCTGGCAGCGACGAGGCCGAAACAATCACGGCTTAAATTGTGCAACAAATTCACTGATAAGGCAAAGGGTGTGAGGGGATCAGGGGTCAGTGGAAAATATATTTAATAGCAGCGCGATATTGGCGCAGCTTGTAAACACGGCCCAAAAGCCAAGGCAACGGCAACTGCTGCTGCTGCTGCTGCAACTGTAACTGCAATTAAAGGCCGCCAGACAATGTGTGCTTGGGCATTTGTGTGAGTGTGCATTTATGTTGTGCACACAGATGCATATGCAGTACGTAGTACGTGCACGAGGCACTTCATATGCATGACAATGTCATGGCAACTTGTAAGGCAACACCACTTATCCTGCCCGCCTCCTTTCGTCCTTCTCAGATTTATTGCAGCCGGAAAAGGGCCTCCTTTCACGGCTCCCGCCTCGGTGTGTTTGCCATTCAGTTTTTGGTTTCCAGTTTTTTCCAATATATTTCGGAGATGGCCCATTGTTGGCCTTGGCACCACAATCCGCCATTCGATGGCAGCCAAACCGCTGAAAGTAACTAAATTGCAGCTGCAGTTGCATTCCCGGCTTAAATGCATTTGTTCAAGCGAATTTACCAAAAGAATTTATAATGTGTTATTGTTTGGCCATTGCTTGTTGCATTTCAGCATGATTACTGCCTTTAACCAAACTTTATATTGTTTTTTTAATCTTTAGCAAACTTCGAGCCGTTTTCATCGTTAGCTAAAAAAGCAAAAGAAGACATACTACTTCTTCCCATGTCACTATTTTAAAACCCAAATTACTCTAAAGACAAAAGTACTACGAAATCCTAATAAATGTTTTTACCTATAAATGGCTGTAAATTTCAGGCAAATACAAAATTGACTTTACGTTTTTGATTTGCTTAAGAATTTCCATGTGCGAAATTTTGTATTCGTAAAGCCCAATAGACAAGATTTACTTAAATGAATGTTTATCATTTAAAAATGTATTTTTCATTTATAAGATATATCTTAAGACTATGTTTTGAAGACAGAAATTATTAAAATGGCGTTTGCTGAATAGTTTATCATTCGAATTGAAATCTTTGTTTCTGTAGAGATTGTGTCAAATTAATAAAAAGTGTCAAAAATTAAGTGCAATTAAATTTCCATTGGTCTTAATATAAATTTTTCATTTCTCATTCGTTTGAAATTACTGAGTACAGTTACATGTCACAGCAGGTGGACTCATCAAAGTCAAAGTTGAACCAACAGTTTAGTGCGATGCAAAAAAATGGAGCTAATTAAGGCAGCACGACCGCGATGTCATGGCTTCCGTTTGACATGGTTTCGTCATTAGTTTTAGAGCCCAGAAAATGCATTAAATTCAGCAAAATTACCCTGCCTTTAAAGACCGTCCCAAACCGAGCAGCATGCATTGATTTATTGCCCTACTGAGCCGCCGCTAGCAACTCCCTTTTGGCCATGGACCTCGCTCATCTGCTGGAGCGTCGGTTTGCTCGCCGGTGCATGAATGTCACTGCCGAGCCAAATGGACAAGACAACCAAACGAACAACCGGCAGCCAGAAGCCAGCAGCCAAGCCAGCGAAAGGGTTAAATCGCACTGAACATTGGCTAAAAGGAGGGCAGCAACAAATAACAAACAGGAAGATGGAGAGCCGCAAAAAGTGTAGCAAAGAAATCAGCGCACGTTAGCAATTAATAATGGGGGAGGCCAAAGTATTCAGAGACTCTGGGTCTCAGTCCGGGATCGAGAAACATTTGGTGGCCTGCGTATGGGGACCTAAAAAAGAATCCACCAAAACGGAATGGTAGAAGGAATCGGATGTGATGTGGGCTAACCAAAACAGAGTGCAAAAAATCCTGCCGGCATACAATGACAAAAAATATTCAAAGGCAGCCATTTTGGTTTATAATTTTTCGAAGGACTATAGATTAAATTATTCTGTTTTCTTCTTGGTCTTACATCCATTTGTTATATTATGTTCAGAGAAACCCATACACCATTTTAGCCATTCATTTTGTTAGCTGGAGGAACTTTAAAGTGTAAGGTAGTACAAAAAATAATACAATTATAAAATGAAAATATAAATTGACTAGACTCTACTTTTTCAAAAGTTTTTTGTTTTTAATATATAATAAAAACATTTTTTAAGATGTATAAGTTACGAAAGTATAAGGTACAGAAAGATATGCTAGCCGTTGTTTGTAAATCTTTTGTTTTAAAACTAAAATGCATTAATCAATTTATATTATAAATAATAAATGAAATATTAAAGAATTTTGGTAAAACATTACCAAACTAAAAGACTAGTTTGCACTGAAAGACACTAGCCTGGTGATGCTAATCGAGATTATATATTATTTTTAAAGGTTCGAAGCTAGCAATTTCCTGTCTTGTGAAAAAATTAAATTGGCCTGAAACCACAGTAATTATTTGCTTTTTTTATTTTTATTAGCTTCTTAAAGCTTTAGTTGGTTATTGTTGGCTGTGACAATTTCAATGGCTATTAAAGCCGTTGACCGTCGGGTTGCTGACAGTTGTATAATACAAAAAATTAAGTGCCACGTCCGACTATCCACACCCAGTAACACCCACCAACACCAACACAACACCCACGTGCACACATGGTTGTCATATGTAATTATTAATTTCTAAAAAGCCATTCAAAATTAATATAATTTGAAAATGCGCGCGACGACGTGCCCGGCTCCAAATGTCTCTGATTGTCCGGAATTGTCGAAATGTGTCGGAGCGGGAAATGGAAATCGGTCCGGGCAATGACCAACGGCCGGCTGCTCAGTTACAAATGTTGTTAGGACATTAATTTATGTGTGTGCCCCCCTGCTAGCTGGGCCAAATCAATATTCCCGCGGCGTAAAGAAATATGCCGAATGGCCAAAAACGCATCCTGCTGTCTCCACCCTTTTGGCCGCGGCATATGTTTTGATTTAAAAGCTCACGCACATACGGAACTAATCCTAATTTAAATGTTTTTGCCCCCTATTTGGCTGCCAAATAAAGAGGGGGATTTAATTGCTTTGTTTTTGGGGGGCATACTAAAAAAAAAAGGTGAAAGAAAAGAGAATCGCTTTTGCATAAAAAATTCAATTAAATATCCTAGTGCATGAATTAAAAACATATTAAAGCTAATTGGAAAATGAAAATGTGTTTAAAATAATATATGAATAAAAATAATGTGCACAACAAAAACGAGGTTAAATATTTAATCACTTGAGTGCGGTTGCCACTGAACAATAGGAGCACATTATTTGAAAATAAAAAGCACTATTTAAACACTTCCATTATGTGCACTACTTTCGGCTTTCAAAAGTGAGTGCCAAACACAGTTAGCATTTATTTTCGCCATTCAATTCCCACTAACATAATTGAACTTAATTCTTAAATACTTCGTTCGACTTGCGGCCATTCAGCTCAGTGCCATAAATTGTTGCAATGGTTGCAATAATAATTTTACTTTTCTGCCACAAATCTCCGCAATTCCCAAAATAGTTTTCAAAGCGCGTCAACAAATTTATTTGTGCGCGCCAAAGTAAAAAGGCCAACAAAACTATTTTGTGCAAACAAGTTAAATCAAATATATTGCTTCGATTTGCTGCTGCTGGTCTTTTTGTTGTAATGGGTTTTGTTTTGTTGTCGGGGCAATTGCCAAAACACCAAGTTCAACAGCAATTAAAATGGCCAAAAAAGAAAAAAAGCAGCGAAGGATGCGCACGAGAAGAATAAGGGAAACAAATGCATCTGACCAGCGGCAAGAGAAACATTTCGGCTGCTTATCTTCTAGTTGCTGCTAGTTAACAAACAACCCAAAAGCTGCAACAACTAAACAACTACAACAAGTCGCCTCGCGAAGGACAGCATCCCATGAAAACTTTGCTTTGCCCAAAATAGACCATTCGCTCGTCCAAGAAGCCATAAAAATGTTGCTCACGCTGCGAGGTGATGCTAAATGGGTGGAGTGGAGTGTGGGGTACAGTGAAGCACCGGCAGGGTGGCGGAAAAATGTATAAATTAGATATACAAGTATATATAACAAAATGTATAAATGTATAGGAAATCATTATTTGCCACAATCTCCGCAATTCCCAAAATAATACATAAAGTAAATAAAAGAAACCAACCATCACTATTATTTAAAAAATTTAATTCATTGTATTTTTAAGCGTTTTCGAACTTTAGTAACTATTTTAAAAAAGTTCTGCCCGAATTAAAAGCGTATTTTAAAAATAATTATTTAATTTTTTAAAAAGGCTTTTAATTTTAATTTTTATTTATCTTAGTTTTAAGAAGCTGTAAAAGAAGTAAAACAAGTTTATTATCAAAAAAGGACTAAAAGGATTCTCCCTCACACTTCTATGACAGCCCTTTCTATACATTTTTGTTTTTCAATCTCTCATTTATTTATTTTAAAATAGTTTCCTGTACACTTACAGAGTTACCACTGTCTTTCAGCTTCGGTGTGTGCACGTAAATCGCTGTAATAGAAACATTGCATTTTATTGCAGTTGTCTTCGTTCTCCTGGATGTCCTTTCTCTGGTTTTCCTCCTCCCGCTGCCCTCTTTTTTGTCTTTCGGCCAATAACATTCTGATAAATGGTCAGAACGGCTTTCGTGTCGATGTCCTTGAGGCAGGAGCATCAGCATTGCCATCTGCAGCAGCTGCCCACTCTTGCAGATATTTGTCCAAGCTGAGAGAACTTTTCAATTTGCACTAAAAGTATTTTCCTTTTCGGGGCAACCTGGCCCAAGTAAATCCCATGTCCCCAGATCTTGATTTTGTCAGCCCGAACGTGGCGAGCTGAACCTGAACGCGGTTGCACTCGCCACAAATGGATGCAGGCAGCTGCCAGGCAGCTTATAAATGGTGTCAACCTAAGGGGACTCTTCATCACGAGTTGCCACCGCACCAAGACTCCCTCTCTTTTTCACCCTCGATTTGTCTTTGGCTTCTTGTTGGCCGACCAAAAAATAAACTTTAATTAACTTAAGTACATACATGTAAAACTGAATATTTAATGGAGCACATTTCACAGTGTTTCGCCACTTGAAATTAAAAGGAAATAAAACAGAAAAAATATATTAAAGATTTAATTTTCGAAGAAATATTGTCATTTCTTGGTCAAGTTGAACTATTGGTCGTGTAACGACACTATTGCTTCTAAAAATATATTAATAACTGCTCACTAAGGGTATTTAACTTTCGACCTACCCCAAACTGTACTTCTCTTCTGTTTGACTTGACCAGCATGAATAATGCAAATGACCAGAGGCTGTTGTAGGGACATTTCCATGAACACAGCCTTGGAAACTGTGAGTGCAGCCCCAGGATTGTGGTTTCGGTATAAAAAAAACTCAACACGTGAGGGAAAAACGAGCTAAGGTAGATTTTAAAAGCGAGTGTCACAGCTTCTTTATTGTGGAGTGTTAATAAGTTACCTATATCTTATATTTTTAGAACAAACTTGGTAAAAGGATCTGGTCCCTTAAAAAACCTTTAAACCTGCTGTCAGGAAAGTAAATGGAAATTAAAACTAATCGGATGTCGTTGCTTTACGTGTCCATCATCGAGGCTAGTATTATAACTAAACTTTATGATTATAGCAGAACTTTAAAGAGTACTAGCATCTGTCGGACTGGAACTAGGTGTATTACTAGTAGTAGGTATACTAGTACTTGTAGAACTAGGTGTAGTGATAGAAATAGTAGAAATAGGTCTAGCTGTAGTACTAGTACTGGTAGAACTAGATGCTACACTGGAAGTAGAAGAACTAGAACTAGGTATAGAACTAGAAGATGTAGGACTAGGTACAGTCGTAGAAGATGTAAAACTAGGCCCAGAAGTAGTACCCTTTGGATCAGGGGACGTATTTGCGTCTATCCAACTCTGGAACCAAATCACACTTGCGTAGACATCGGGTTTGGTGGTGCAGCCGCCGTCGGAGAGAATGCCCACGAGATATCCGTCCTTCACTAGCGGTGCTCCCACGTCGTAGGAACATCCTCCGGCGCCGTAGTTGGTACAGAGGGTGTATCCCGAGATGCCATTATCCCAGAGATAGAACCAAACGGCCCGATCTTCGGCGCACTGCTCCCGATTGTAGACGCTGACCCATGCCCGCTGCAGCTGGAGTGGCAGACTGCCGAAGCACCTGTCGAACCAGCTGCCCCACCAAGAGGTGGATCCCCAGCCGGTGACCCACAGCCAGGCGTCATCCGGCGGCAGTCGGTCGGTCACAGTGATTGGATGAACGGTTTCCGAGGTCTTCAGTTCTTCGCACAACTTCAGAAGAGCCAGGTTGAAGTCGTAGCGCCAGTAGGAGTATTGTGGATGGATGGTGACCCCGCAGACTGGCATCAGAACTCCAGTTCCATCGTAGTTTCTGGACGTGGTGTTCACACGCACTTGAATATAATCAATGGAGTAATCATATACACACGAAGCTGCCGTGAGGATAGTATTTGTTCTGATGATGGCACCACTGCAAATTGCACTGCTATCCACAATTACGGCCGCCTGATATGGGGCATCTTTAATGTCCACGGAATAGCCGCCAATGATGCGGGTCTGGGGGTCGGGGTCACCGAACACCGTCCATGGAAGCGCCACCAGCAGAAGGGGCAACACAAGCCGGATCATTGTTGTAAACTGAATTTAATACCGCATGGGGAACTCAATTTATAGGCAAAATTCTCTAGTTGCACTGGCTTACACTCCTTATCTGCTAAGTCATACCTCAAATTGAGTGATGGTTTGCCTTCTGTTCTTGCCAATTAGGAAGTGATGTGTGTTATTTGCCTCTATCTTAATAGGTTTTCATAGCTTTGTTAATTTAAAATGTTAGTGACTGCATAACATAGGCAGATTGCATAACTACCACGGCATAAAACTGCAGTAGAACTTCTTTTCTGAGCCTAGCGCTATAAAATCGGAATTATTGAACAACAGATTATTATTTTCTATAAAATATATTTTTTTCTCAGTTAGGGGTACTATTTCATAGTTTTTTGTTTATACTCAAATACCAATGTTTTTATTAATAGTGTGCTTTGTGAACCTTATTTCACTTTCACGCTTTGAAGTGTAGTTACTTGGTGTTTTTGTCCAGCCAGGACCTATAAAGTTGTAGATTGTTGTATATTTCGGGTCGGGCGGAGCAGCCGCCCCTGACCAAGATACCAACTAGTTTTTCCTTGAAGGCTAAAGGTGCTCCCAAGTCGAAGGAGCAAGAATTTTTGGCGGTCTTCTCTGTGCAGAACATCTCGTCCGTGAGGTTTCTACCGAGTTGATACTTCTCTGGCCAGTCCTTCATGCACTTCTTTTTGCCGGACATCTTTACCTCGGCCTTCTGCAGCTTGTGGGCTAGATCTTCCAGACACTGATCAAAATACTCTGTCCACCACCTGAAGGATGGCCAGCCGGTGACCAAGACCTTTGAGCCATCGGCTGGAAATTTATCAACTAACTGGATCGGCTTTATCGTAGCGGAGTCCTTGAGCGGACTGCACAACTTTAACAGGGCCACATTATAGTTAGTGGCTTGGAGATTGAACTTCTCGTGAATGATGGTATCGCAGATTGTGGCTTCTGTAACTCCATCGCTTCGAGTGGTGCTTCCAACTCGCACTCTAATGGCTTTATTCAAATAGCCATCCACACACTGCGCCACAGTTAGGATGTAGTTTAACTTGTAGATGACACCGACGCACTTGGCCTTTTCCCTGACCGTAATAGAAGCCGTCCATGGGGCGTCCTTTATGTCCATGGGTTCGCCGCCAATAGTGGTGTTGTCGCACTTGTCGACTTCCATTTCCGAGTCCTCCGAGTCCTCGGAAAGGACGAGCACACACAGCCCTAGAAAGAGTGGTAGCGCCACTGGTAGAATCATTATCGCAAATAGAATTGATTACTCCGGTGTTTTTAAGTTTTATAGTAATATAGCGAAACTGTTTTGTTAAGCTGTAATCAATCTGTAATGCAACATGGATTAATAGCCCTTAACTGTTTCGGAATGTTACGCGGTTAATTCATCAAAATGTCAATTAGGCATGCTGACCTGAACTTTTATAAATGTAGATCAGCAATTATTATTATTTCATTGTTGAGACAGCACGTCGTAGTGTGTCAGGAATAGAGTAGCACCATGGCACTGCACTTTTCCGAATTTTAAAAGCAGTTTAGCAGCTTAAAGAAGGTGTAATTGTGTGTAAAAATGGTGGGTCCTACAAATACATATATTTGATAGGTATACAACGGTAAAATAGTCTAACGTATGTCGATTGAAAGATAAATGTTATGTATATGTTTTATATTGATCAATTTTATGGCCATTCATTTTTGGGCATTACTTGTCCTTTGAATTACTTTCCAGCCAGGCCTTGTGATGGAACAAATTGATGAAGACTTCGGGTTCCTTGGAGCAATCGCCCAGGGCCAATATGCCCGCCAACTTGCCATCGATGACCATTGGAGCGCCTTTGTCGAAGGAGCAGCTCTCGGTCTTCCTGGTGACGCAAATGTTTTGCACCGTGTCGCCGGAGGAGATGTTAAACCATCGCTTTCGATCCTTGGAGCATGAATTCGGATCATGGAGGTTGACATCTAGTTTTCGTAGTACATACGCTGAGACGGTCTCGCATGGTTCCCTCAGCGAGGCCCCCCACATGATGGTGCTCCAACCGGAGGTTGTGGCTTTGGCCTTCAGATCGGGCTCTTTGTCGATCACCTGGATCTCCTTGATGCTGTCCGTGAGCTTTAGAGCTTCGCACAGGTTCATCAGAGCCAAGTTGCTGCCGAAGTTCTTCTTGCCGACCTGTGGGTGGTAGGTCACTTTGCAGACACCCACCTCAGTGCCACCCGTGCCCCGAGAACTACTTCCCACGGAGAGTTTTAGTCTGGAAAGAGCCCTCTTTCTCATGCAATTCGAGGTCGTGAGTATGTATTTGGTGTTGAGGATAACACCGTTACAAATGATTCTCTTGTCAAACCGAATCGATGCCATCCAAGGCACATCCTTAATCATGACCTGTTCGCCAACGATCCCACACTTATCAGGAGCTCCACTCGCCGACCACGGAATGATCACTAGAAATAGTAGACAAACTGTCTGGAGCATTTTGTTTTTTATCTAAATTCCTTTTGCAGGGCACGTGTATTTATAAGATCTGGAAGAAAATCGAAAGAAGGGGTGACATTCTAAATTGATTTGTGATTGGCCCCACTATTATTCAACCGTTGCGCAATGTTCTTCTTTATTCTGAGATCTTACAAGTGTACCTTAAATAATTAATATTTTGTGTAGGGAATATAAGATAAATTGTTGATTACGAATAAGTTCCATTATGTAGTTTGATGTTAGTTTATTACTAGCTTAAGTGGCCCTTGATTACTCCTTGGTATTATCATCGAGCCATGTCTTGTGCTGGTTGAGATTCGCGTACACATCGGGCCTAGCGGAACAGCCTGGCTTGGATAAAATGCCCACGAGCTTGTTGTCTACCACCAAAGGGTCACCCATATCATAGACGCTGGCTCCCTTGCCGGATGTTTTGGTACATATGGTCAGCTCGGAGATTCCGTTTAGCAAAAAGAAATATCCAAATCCAATCTTTTTCCAGTCGGATGAGCACTGATTTTGGTTGAGGATCTGCACCTCGGCGCTGTGCAATTGCTTAGGCAGGTTAAGAAACATATCGGTTAACGGGTCGAAAAAGCCGCTGAACGCCCTGCCTTTGTCAATATCGAACACACTGCCCCTTCTGGCACCACAGCCGGTGACATTGGCCTGTGAATTGTCCTCCGGAATCTTGTCGGAGCTCTCAATTGGCTTTATTTCATCGGTGGCCACCAGTGGCTCGCAGGTCCTCAGGAGGGCAAGATTGTTGTCGAAGCGCCAGGATGAATACTGGGGATGTACTTTCACCTTGCAGACTCCCACCTTGGATCCGCCCGATTCGCAGCTGCTGGTGCCCAACCTTATTTGCAGATCACTTACATCAAAGCCATCCACACACTTGGCGGCTGTCAGGAAGTAGTTGTTCTTCACCAACACACCGCCGCACTTCAGTTTAGAGTTTGCTATGAGCGATCCATACCATGGAGCAACCTTAATACTTTCTGTATTGCCGCCTATGATGCGATGTTCTCCAATAACCAGCCAAGGCAGAGCCACAAACTGGAGCAAGACCAGGGAGTGGAACATTTTCCCGAACTGATTTCTGCACAAATAGGAGCTGCTTTATATGGGATCCGCGGTGGATTGAGCAGGCCAACTATCAAAAAAGTCATCCATCATTTCGTTTGGAATTTTGTTGCTTTGTATCTTTTAATGAATATGAAGGATTTAGGAATGTATGTTATAATATCGAAAAAATATTTAAGAATATTGGGTGAGGTAACCTAACTCGGGTAAGTTCATTTAAGACAAGAAACAGGGCAATTTCAGTGGTACCAAAAAATATCTAAGCTTTGGTACGCTGTATACAGTGGCTAACTTAACTGATTTTCAACATTGATAATTAAATAGTCCCAAAAAAAGGCAAGGTTTAATTTAGTCAGAATTAAGTACAACTTATAGCTTTGTTTTAGAAATTATTTAGCTCAGAAGCCACTTTTACGATGATGCCATACACCAAAAATTGAAGTACATTTTAAAATGATATAAAAAAGGCCAAAACATTGTTTCACTCTAAATCGAGTCTAACAACTAACATTTGCAGTCAAAAAGAGAAACGTTTTTGTTAAGCCGTACTGACATTTCAGGGGATAAAAAGCTTCTAACCAATCGATTGAATATAAATCCGAACAATTATTTATTCAGTTGCCTTTTCATGCAGTTGGTAATCTATATTCCCAAATTATACTGTATAATTTAAGCAACCGCGTGAATTCTTTCCGCTTAGAGCTGCTTTAGCCCCATCCTCATGTTTTTTGAAAAATTCTCACCAGCCATTACACTAAGCCGCTTAAATTATTTGAATAATTCCCACGCAGTTAAAAAAAATATGGGTGACTGAAATATAGCTGGACATTTCCATCAAACGACATTTGTATGTATTTATGCGATTTTACATGAATGGAAATTTAAATCTGGGCAATGTTTAGCAAAATATCGAAATAAATAGTTTCACAGTTGGACGTTGGAAACGAGTTGTGGGCGGTAAATGGGTGGGGCCAGAGGCCAAGCAAACAAACATTTTGATGATTCGACATGTCAAGTGGGGCGGTTTTGCGGGCCACGCCGGCGGATTAAAATAGATTACAACTGAATTATTTGATAATGCCCCAACAGATGCAACACATCGCATTGGTTTGCCCCGACTCGCATTTAATTTTCATCAATGTGAAAATCATTTTTCGATGCCGGCTTTTTTATCACCTTTTTTGTGGCGTTTTTGCTTGCTTCAGCGGGAAATCGTGTTTTCAATTTGCCTCTGGAACTAAGTTTTTTCCAGTCTGTGGTAAAAAATCATCTGTTGGGTGTTTTTTGTAATCAAATATTGTTTTGGTGTTTTTACAGCTCGATTTAATTGATTTTATTTGTGCAAAATCAGTAAAAGTTCTTTCGCTTTATGAGGGTTTTATTGCATTAGTGCTTTGGTAATAAGAGCATTGATGTCTTGTCAATCAATTATATTAATTTAAAATTTTTTTGAAAATCAAATTGTATTGTTTTAAATATTATCTTTTGTTGAGAACAAATAATATAGTTTCATATTCTTAAAATTATTTCTTAGAGTATAATGTTTGAAAAAATATCTTTTATACTCACCAATATTAATGTGAGTAATCAAAATTAATAAATATTTTTTTTTATTTATTTCAATTAGGTAAATAGTAATTACTACAAATATTATAAAGTTGTCATCCAACTAGTTTTGATTTCCTTTTTTTTCAAATTATTCGCATTATCATATCATAAATAAAACCTTACAATGTAAATCCAATCAGACATTAGTGTTGTCCTATTTTAAATATGGCCTTGATTGGCTTTTTTTCTGCGATAATGTCTATATCAGTCCTGGCAAGATTGCTGATGCCATAGACATCCATCGATGGCCATTTGGAACTCGATCCAGCTGCTGCTTCATCTCAATCAGCCTTTGGCTCATACATAACCCAGTAAATCCTTTTCCAGCTTGATGGCATCGTTGCCAATTTTCACACCAGCGACAATTACTCAAACCGTTGACAACAACAAGGGGCGCGGGCAGTGTCCTTGTTTCCTTTTCCCTGACCCGCTTTTCCCGCCCTCCCCTCCCCTCCGCGAACATTCCGCAGTCAGAGCTCGCCATTCGGAATCGAGGGATCCGGCAAAACAATCGTTGACAAAAATATTTGCATGCACTCTGGGTGCACTTGTCTGAATCGCTGCGCTGGGGCTGCTGCTCTTGTTGCTGGTGTTGCCATCGGCGTCGGCGCATTAAATATGCAACACCTATGACAGCAAGCCGCTTGACATTTGGATCCAAAGGCCCGGGCCCATTCCCATTCCCATTCCACTCCATTCCCGACACCAGGCTTGAATGCTCACACTAAAGTTCTGCCGGCAATTTGCTGCTAAATTTGTCAAAAAACCGAAAACTTGGCCAGCGCAAAAATTATGACTTCCGCAATTGTTGGTGGAACAAAGGGAACTAACGTAATGCCAAAGTGTGACCCGAAACAGTTCAAAAGGCAACTGTTGCTCTTGAACCTTAGCAAAATCCACCGCTCCAAACTCCGCCCCCCCACACGGTAAAGTTTTCAAATAGAAAATGTTTAATTTCCCCAAAGACAACGTCGATGCTGCTGCTTCTGCTGCTGGCTTTTCCGAAAACGCAGCGTTTTCCCAGCCAAGCTGAGAAAACTTTCTTACATATTTTACAATAGATCTTCGTGAGTGTGAGTGTGTGTGTGTGTGTGTGGGTGGGTGCAACAGTGCAGTAGAAAAAGTTTCTCCTTTCCCGGGCGAAAAGTTAGCTAAGACAAACTCCCCAAAAATATCCCCAAGACCATCCCCACCTACACCCCTCAGTCCAGGGCTTCCGAGTCGAACTTGTTAGTTTGCCATATAGCGTCGAAAATTATATTATTTTAAACTTTTCAAATGTCACCAGAGAGTCAGAAATTTCACCGAACGTCAGTGACAAACTCGCCTTCGCTGTGTTCGTTAATTAAACATGTTGTCCCAATGAAGCGAACAATAAATCGAACTCCACGGCAAAATGTTTGTGCGGAAAAAGTAAAATTGAAAATTAACTACATTATCAGATCGAATGGGGTAATTAAATGTGGCAATCATTTGGGCAAGTCAATCAAACGTCTGAGGGAGGCATAAAATATGTTACAAATACATAAAAACGATTATAAATGTTGTTAATGCAATTTGAACCATAAAATGTGAACTCGTTTTTAAAATAGGGTTACTTAAATAATTTATAGGTTTTGGGTTTCTTTTGAAAAAAAACTATTGGTTTTAAATTCAGTTTTTTTTTTTAATAGTATTAACTTATATTATATTCAACCCTTTAACTAGATCGTCATTAAACCAATAACTTAAACATTGTTAAAACTGTAGAGGAATAATCGGTCAAAGTCGACGGGCTTATGCAATGTTATTCTTAAATATATATATAAATATGTATTATTAATTAAATATATACTAATGTTATGTTATTAGTCTTTTGAAATAAATACATATGTTTGTTGCGTTGAGTATTAATTCTTGACAGTCTTATAAATAAATATTAATTAATAAAAATTGTTAATTATTATTTTTGTAAGCTATGGATGGTAGATAATTCTAGATTATATTAACAACATAAAATTGGTATCAAATATATAAGACTAAATATATATAAAATATAAAAAAATCAAAATTTTGTAATCCTTTTTTGTGCTTGAACTTTATTCTTTTATAATTTTTGATAATTTTTAATATACTTTTCGTACAACTTATCGTCGATAACGTTGAACTGTAAAAGTTCTTTGTTACATCCGGCGTTTCATCTTTTATTAGTTTTATCGAAATACTATTACCACTACACAGTTTTACTTGCAATCTCAGATCCAATTCAGAGTCGTTCTTATTCCCATTTCTCCCAGGGAGCCCATTACAATCTAAAACTGTCGCAA